GAGAGAGAGAGAGAGAGAGAGAGAGAGAGAGAGAGAGAGAGAGAGAGAGAGAGAGATGCAATGGCTTGCTGATTTCTACTGTCGAGGTCTGACTGCGAGGTTGTAGAATAGCTGTCTTAGGGTCAGATTCTAAATTTTGTTGGCGTCAGGGACTAACCATGAGACTAGCCCGAGTTTCCCCTAGCGGTTAGTGCCGTAGCAGACCCGGTCTGCCACTAGCTTGGGAGGCCTCCGTGGCCAGGTCCCACTGCAGCGGGTACAGCCCTCAGTTGGGTAGGGCCTACAGGCCCAAACTGAACGGTACCCGTCAGTCGTAGTCTAGGGTAGTGTCGATTCTATTAATAGAGGGCGGTAAGACTGTTGAGGACTTTTGGCTTTTCATTCTTCGATCGCAGGGTCTTGAGCCAGGCAAGTTTGGTGGTGGTGATTGTCTACAGGCGGCATCCTGAGACCCTCATCGTGGACGGCAGCCATAGCAAGCCGGCCGGTGTTTGCCATAGCTGGGGCACCCTCTGAGCATCTGCCCCTGAGGGTATCTGCGATTGGCTGGGCTGTTCTGAGGCTCTTCACTGAGCGTATGTGGGTGGACCACTGTCGCCCTTAGCTTCGTCAGTGGTGTGGCAGCCATAGCTGCCATCTTCTTCGTCAGAGTTACTCATCGGCACTGAAGACTTCATCACGATTCATGTTCTTCATCTGGATGGTTGGCGCTGGCCTCTGGGAGGCGGATTCACTGTTGCGCTACTAACTGGGTGCAGGATAGAGAGTAGTGTGTGGTGTTCTGAGAGTGGCGAGATACTGAGATAAACGATGTAACGATAACTGGGACAATTGGTTTGAGTTGGCTCATCATCAGTGTGAATCCTATTGTTATCCTCGCAGGTGTCTTCTTTTGATTGGTTGTTGGGAGTTTGTCAGGGAGTGAGAAAACACTGTATGTCTTCTCCCCATCTGTGCCTGGTTGAATTCCACTGCTTATCTTGGTCTGTGTACAGTTTGGACTCTGTCTCCTCTCCCGTATGTCTTGTACATGTATGGGCGTGTGCGAGATACTGTGTGTGTGAGTGGCGAGAAAATCACCAGACAACCAAGTTCAAGAGAGAGAGAGAGAGAGAAGCATAATGTGTGTGTGTGTGTGTGTGTGTGTGTGTGTGTGAGAGAGAGAGAGAGAGAGAGAGAGAGAGAGAGAGAGAGAGAGAGAGAGAGAAAGAGAGAGATTACGTAGTTCTCTAAATTAAGCGGTAAAATAGGAATGGTACACTGTTGCTTGTGGAGGTGTATCGTTTGAACAAGCATTTTGTACGTGTGTATTGTCTTGGCAGTGCCTTAGCCCGGCTGGAGAGTACAATCTTCGACTTGGAATTCTGAAAGAACTTCATCCGGATATGGTGGCTACTTGTGAGGGAAGGTAACTTGCAACATTTTCCCCGTCGTTGAACTCGTTGTTTTCCATCTCATGCTCCGTTATTTTCACCGACTCCCTTTCTCCATTCTCTCCTATCATTCATCCATCACCTATGCTCAATGCTCTGGTCCCTCAACCTGCCCAGCAGCACATGCCCCTCAGTTTCCCACCCTTCTTCCACGCACTCTCCTGCCCCACTACTTTCAATTCCTTACGCCTTTCCTCTCTTCTCCCTGATATCTCATCTGTGTCTCCTTCCTTCTGGTTACTTCCCACATCCTCTTCTTGGTTCACTCGACCCCTCTGAGCTTCTCTTCCCCATTCTATCCCCTTCCACATCTCTTTCTTTACACCTCATTTCAGCCCCATGTACTGTCTGCCCACACTCTTGCTGTCTCTTTTTAATCCCTTCTTCCATCACTCTTTAATGTCTCACGAATTCCATGTACCCCCTCTCCCAACTTCCTTCTCATGTGTGGGTTGCTTTCCATTCTTTCACTCATTGTCCACCGTGTGCATGTATTCGAAGGGCATCCTTTCATTTAGTGGATCAGCTGCTGATGAAGGGACTGATATAATTCGGTAAGTTGATAACTAAGTAATAAGATCATTTCGGGAATCTGCTGCTCTGTTTCTAATGATCTGATTGCTTCTTCCGTCCACAGTGTGCATGTATTCGAAGGGCATCCTTTCATTGTCGAAGCTGGCGTTAGTCTTGGGGGAAAGAATGTGAAACCAGTAAGTCCGATGTTCCTCCGACACTTCCCACCACCTTCCCTTTTTTATCCATCCCTCTCCTCTGTCAACTCTCTTATTTGCTCACACCACTTGCACACCTGGGCAACTCTTCCTTTGCGGTTTTCCATTCCTCTCCCAGTCCTTTCCCAACTCCAGCACCTTCTTTTCGTTTTTCCTATGTCTTCCGCTTCCTTCTCTTCTGGTGCATTCTAGACGAGATGGGAGTTTTATGGCAGAACTGAATTTTTTGAATGAAAACAATCAGCATTCTAGATGCAGGTTCTGAATGGTGACATACAGTGCTCCTTCCGCTCCCCTCTACCTCCTGCTTTCTCTCATGCATCTGGTCACCGTTCACTATCTCGGTGTTTGATACCAATGATTGAACTGTAGTAGATGTGACAGTCATGCGCCATCTCACTGTAATCTTGGTAAACATTAATACTGTCATTGCTGCAGTTGCGGGAAATATAGTTGTTACCTAGGCTACCAGCCGGGCCGCGCGGGTCCCGGGTGGCCAGCCCGTGCAAGGACCAGGGAAGGTCCCAGCCAAAAAAAAAAAAAATCAAAAAAATCAAAAACATAAAAAAAACTATGTTATGCAGAAAAATAAACTGAACAACTTTTGCCTCAGGGTCACATCGAAATTCTTCACCAAATTTAGAATAAAAACTAAAATTTAAAAATGTTTTTTTTTTTTTTTTTTTTTTTTTTTCGCCCGACCGGGCAAGTGACCCCGGGCCACTCTGGTAGCCTAGGTTGTTACATTCACAGTAACAATTTAACGAGTCGGTAAAAATTAATACTGTTGTTGCTGCAGTTGCGGGCAATACAGCTGTTACAGTTACAGTAACAACTTAACGCTCTTAACCACAGTAACAGTAATACAGCCTGTTACAGTTACTGCAAAATGCAATTGTTACAGTTACAGTATCAACCATGGTTACGATCCGGACGTCCAGACTGCAGTTCAAACGCTCTGGGTCTGGATGTCCGGGTCTGGTGTCCGGCTCAGATTGTCCGGATCCATTCCCTCACCCTCACCCTGAAAAATAATCTGATTTAAAGAAAATAAAAAAATCTGAGAAAAAGATTTGTTTTCCTTTTTTACGTGGAGTGGCCCTAAGGGCCTTGCTCCACTAATCACCACTTGCACAAAAGACAAAACATATAGTGGCGTGTGGCTCCATGTTTTCTTCTGTTGCTAGATGTTTACTAAGAGGATGTAGTTTGAACTACGACATTGTTCAAAACATGTCTAAAACAATACCTTACCTTATTTCTAGCAGAAGATTAATTCTAATTTTGCACATTGGGTGAGTAGTGGAGCGAAGTCCTGAAAATCACGTCCTGAATTAGTGTTACTTAGTAACCATAACTGCTGAAACACAGACCTGAATTCGAATCCACACCATATATAGTTGGCCTGCTACTGCCCTACTACAAGTCCAACGGCTGCCTCTTTCTTGGCAAGGAGACCCTTGCTAATTATCTGGAGGGGCCTTTTGGATTACCCACAGGGGTTATCTGATTTAAGTGAAAGGGCTCTCTCTCTCTCTCTCTCTCTCTCTCTCTCTCTCTCTCTCTCTCTCTCCAGCATATTCAGGTCCTATCCTTTGTTGTACTCCTGCAGAAATTTTTCTTTCTAACCATACAGTTACTAAGACGCCTAAAATCATTATTACTAGTAGTAAAACTATAGGTAATAAGATTGATATTAAATAAGCTATATTCTCAGATATACCAAAATCTATCACTAATTTAATAGCGTTGAATTTCAATCTCATAAGAGATGACATATTGTACGATGATATCATATTATCTATCTACCTCTCCCATGATTATATCAATACTACCTAAAATTGTCATAATATCTGCTAGTTTCATTCCATTAACAAGTGGAGGAAGTACTTGTAAATTAATAAATCCTGGGGGACGAATTTTCCAACGCCATGGGAATATATTGTCATCTCCAATTAAAAAGATACCCAATTCTCCTTTAGATGCTTCCAATCTAACATAATGCTCTTGTTTAGGGATTTTAAAAGTAGGTGCACCTTTTCCGTCTATCGGACGGGCTAATGCATTCACTACGCGTCCCAGATAACTATCACCTACAGGGATTTGTGCAATTTTTCCAGTAGCTTTTACCGAACTGCCTTCTTGTATAGTCAGCCCTTCTCCCATTAAAACAGCTCCTACATTATCGGATTCTAAATTAAGCGCGATTCCTACAGTGTTATCTTCAAATTCAAGCAATTCTCCTGCCATTACTTGATCCAAGCCATAAATTCGTGCAATTCCRTCACCAACTTGAAGAACTGTGCCAATATTAACAATTTTTACTTTTTGGTCATATTCTTCGATTTTTTTACGGATGATACTGCTGATTTCAGCGGGTCTAATACCAGTATTACTCACCATTTGTATTTTTTACTTTATTTACATGTATTTTATTTATAAAAGTTTCTTATGATTTTTCAAAATCTACTAGAGTGAAATTGAATTACTTATAGATTAGTTGGAACTTGAAATAAATCATATAAGAAGTATTTCAGATAATAGATATAAATAGATAGAAATGTAGTTATTCTATTATTTGTAGTTATAATAAAAAATCCAATAAAGTAATAATGCAAGATAGAAGTAAATTCAATATTATATTGAATTTACTTCTATCTTGTTGATTAATTTAAATGAACCATATCTAGATATCTAGGTATCGAACAGTAATGGCTGTTCCCAAACTGATTGACAAAAAGATACATAGAGATCATATAAAAATACATAGAAATCATATATAGCAAAACTATGCAAAATACAAGTCTTTCTGGCTCTAGGAATCTCAACTAATTCTCCAGGAAGAAAACCATCAGTCATACCATCACCTAATATTATTATTTTAGATGTCATTTGACGAACAATTATTTCTATATGTTTGTCACATATATCGTCACCTTGGGATCTATAAACTTTTTGTATTTCAAATACTAAGTCTAATTTACTTCGTTCCATCGACGCCCACGCACTAAATTGAAACCCCCATAGAGAACCTAAAAGCATTCCCAATTCTTCTGTTAATAAATTTGTACAGTCTAAATAGATTTTTTTTTCTAATACTCAAATTCAATTTATTAAGAAATAGAAGAATATAGATTCTTCTATAGTAATCAATATATTCATGAATATTGTAGTAATGAATATCTAATTATTATTTTATAGTGCATATATTGTAATATTATGGAATTTCTTTCTATTGTAAATCTGATAATTAGATAAATAAATAATTAGATAAATAAGAATTGTATTATTAAAAAAAAAATTATTCATTCTCATCCTGAAATTCACAATAAAAATAAGATACAAAAATAAAAACTATATAAAAACTATACTATATAAAGAAGGTATATAACTATATATATAAAGAAGGTATATAGCTATATATAATATCTCAAGTCAAATATACATATCATTATAATATATACTATACTAACAATGAATAAATTCTGCATTTCAGAAATTCTAGCATATTTTGTTTTAATTAATGGAATTTTTATTTTATTTGACTTTGTGAAGATCTTGTTTACTCTCTAACACAATTAGATGTAATTGATTATATCTGCTTTTTGAGTAGTCTAGAACCTTACCTAGTAAATAATCAATTGACTCCTTGAATAAGGTAAGATTTTACTTGTTTACATTTAGGTTATCGCATCTTTAGGTTTGTTTCATACTTCGATGATTAGTTTGCTAGATTTTGCTATATCTAGAATTCACAATCTATATTTGACGAATAGATTATGTGTACCATAATTCAATAATACTCATTTCTTGAAGACTGTATTCATAATTGGAGTTTAAATACAATATTATATATCTTATATATAATATTGTATTAGGATCAGACGGATCAAAAACTGCAAGTTCATATAAAGCCATTGAACCTGCCCACCCTGACACAAGAGCAGTATGCATAATATGGACAGCTATTAAACGACCAGGATCATTTAATACAACTGTATGTACACGATACCAAGGTAGACCCATGAAATGACACCTTTTGTCTTAGACAAGTTGATA